AGCAGCCAGACCCGACAGCCGCCGCGCCCCCGCCCCAACTCACCTTCCCCCGCTACCGCAGCAGCCGCCACTGTCCGCTCAACCCACCCTCGCTCCAGCCCCACCTCTCGCACCGCAATGGGTGAGCACGTCCCAACGCCGGCTCCCATTGGATAGTGCGAGCCAAGCAGGACCAGCAAGTTTGTCTGCACCTCCCAGCTAGCGGGACCGCGATTGTAGCTTCACCCTGGTAACGCGGCGCAAAGCAGCACGGGACAGCGAAGAGGCAGCTTCCACGCGCCCGGGGCGGAGCTCACGGGCAAGATGACTGAGGGAGAAGGGCATTTGCGTATCGGTGCTGCGTCGGGCGCTGTGAATGAGCGTGAGTGGCCGTCTGACTCTGTGCGCGACTGCGCATGTCTGTTCGTATGAGCTCGTGACCGTGCATCTCCCTGTGTTCCATGCAAAGCGGTTCATTTGAACGGACATCTGTGCGTGCCCTCCGTGTACAAGGAAACCTCCCTCTTCCCTATACGGGGTTAGCGCAGGCAGCCCTGAATTCCTTGCCCTCTCCTTGTTCCCCCCACCCCCACGGGACAGGCCCATGGCAAGGCTCTCCTGTACAGATGCATATACAGACTGATGGATGACTGTCTCTACATATCACCGGGTCACTTTCCATGCCTGTTTTTGAGTGACCAGCCATTTTTCTGTGCCTGTGCATACATTTTCACCTTTGACCTAAGGATATTATAAAGCAGTTAATTTACTAGTGGAGTAGTCCATGGAATTTCCATGGATTACTGTTAGGCACTTCTGCATTCCTTCTTTGAAATATACAAGAGCTCCTGTAGGGGCTCTTGTACATTTCACAGGAAGAGTTCAGCACTCCAGTGCAGCCTGGGGCCAGTGGGAAGTCCCGCTGACTCTGGGCTCCACACAGGCGCTTCTGCTCTGAAATGTACATGAGCCGCTTTTGTGCATTTCATAGCAGACGAGCCCACATGGAGCCTGGAGTCCCCCGGACTTCCTGCTGGCCCCAGGCTGCACATGGTATGCCAGCTTTGAAATGTACAAGAGTCCCCAGTGGGGGCTCTTGTGCATTTCAAAGAGCAAGCGCCCGCATGAAGCCTGGAGACAGCAGGGAACTCACAGTCCACCCAGTGACCCTGGGTTCCATGCGGTGCTGCTGCTTTGAAATGCCATGCACAGCCAGGGTCAGCTCGGGACTTCCCAGTTGATCCTGGGCAGTGTGTCATTTCCGTGGAACATCGGATCACGGCATTTCAAAGGGGCAGTGCCACACAAAGCCTGGGGTCAACTCCATGCAGCTTTTCAAAGAGGCAGCACCGCACAGAACCCAGGATCAGCAGTGTGGCACTGCCCTTTGAAACGCTGCCACATGTTTCAAAGCGGCAGTGCCTTACGGAGCCCTTACTGGGTTCTGTGCAGTGCTGCTGCTTTGAAGTAATCCCTCTCCCCCACTTCCCTCCTTTGCTGCCTCTATCTGATAGAGGAGTGGTCACCAACCAGTAGATCCAGATCTACCAGTAGATCTTAGAGCCTCTGACAGATGATCCTGAGTGGTTTGGCTGGGAGGCTATCAAGTGCCAGCACTTCAGCTGCCCTTCCCCACACTGCCCTGCTGCTCCTGCCCAGAGCCGCCCTCTGGGAGCCCCCTGCTTGTTGTGCAGGGTGGGGGAGACAGAGGCCATGGGCATTGATGTCACTCTGACTCCCTCCCCTGTACCCCATCTTCTCAGAATGAGGAGGGCGGGGCTTTGGCTAATGGGTGGGGCAAGGGTATTTGGGTCTGAGGTAGATCCCGAACTGACAAATTCAGAAAGTGATCTTGTACTTAAAAAGGTTGGAGACCACTGTGATAGAGGAAGCAAAAGGGGGGGAGGGAGGAACAACTAGTTGATAAGCCAATGCTTATCGGATAATTGACTACTCCTTAACATCCTTAGTTTGACCCAGCTATGTATGTGTGTCTGTAATTCATGCATATGAATCTTTTGGACTAGGTGTTGGATGTCTTCTAGGATTAGAGCATGTATATGTATGTTCCTGATATGTATACAGGTAACTGCTGTGTTATTGTCACCATATAAACAAGTTTTTATATGTGTATTTATGCATATGCGTGTGTTGATGCATAGTAAGTTGCAATTACATGTTTGCACATGAACTTCTGGGCATCATTGCATGTAGTATGAATAAGTTTTATTTTACACTAAATTTATGCAGTAATCTACAAAACAGAGTGAGGCCTAGTCTATATTAACCCCCACCATTGGTCTAATTTATGTCACTTCAGCTATGCAAATGGTGTGGCTGAAGTTGATATGTTTACTGTGCCATCTTGTGTGCAGTAAGAGCTGTGGGGGCTGCTACTACTATGTCACCAACAAGAGAACACTCAGATTGACTTATCACATCTAAAGAGATGCAGTAAATCAACAACCCATGAATTAAACACTGCAGTGCGGATCTCCAGTTTAGTGAATACAAGCCCTAAGTTATATGGCAGATTTTACAAATGTATGTGGTACTATAGGCATGTGTGTTAACCCCAAGATCCAAAACCAATTTGTACGTATTGATAAAATAGATGAGGAAATGGCAAGGGGCTAAATGGAATAACTCTCATTAACAGTTTATATCTTTTAAGATAAAAAAGCCTAGCAGTAGATGTTATCTCAAGCTGCTGATAGGCCTCTTTCCAGACCACTAGAAACCAGCTCTCTTTCCCCTGTATAGCTCTCACAGTGGTCCAAATAAATCCTCAGCAAAACTTCTAGGTTCCCCAACTTAGTCATAACAAAAACACTGGAGCTTATTCTATTTCTTTGTGCCTGCAGCAGAGATGATTTAGGAGGAAAATGGGATTTAGGTAGTTAAATTATAAAAGACAACTGCTGTAATATTTATTACGTCATTTTTTTCCTTCCTAGAATTTTACTTTATTCTTTTTCTAGAATCTCACTGTGTTTATACCTTCTTTTAGGGTACTTCTATACTGATATATAGCCAAGTCTCATTATTTTTTCCCCATCATTTAGAATCAATCCCAATAAGTCCAGAAACTTATTTGCTCTCATATGCTTTTGTACTATTCCCTTTCTCCTCAAACTACTCTTCAGCTTAATTGCCACCAGATGTCCCATCCTTTCTGCCATTCTTAGTCTCCCCTCTTCTTTCAATGAACTGCCTCAGGAATGGAGTGAGTTTCCAAAGCACAAGATGACAAGCGCTGACTTGATCATCGGGAAAAGGTGTCCAAACCCCCCCAGTGTCCAGGAAAGGGTTAATGCAGGGGTGGGCAAGACAGTGTCTGTGGGTCTGATCTAGCCTGCCAAGCCATTTGTTCTGGCCTGTGGCTCCCCCACCACTCCCCCACATCCAGGCCAATGGAGACTTGGAGACGGGGGGGAATATGTCAAATCTCCTCCCCCACCTGGGGCATGCAGTATCAGACAGAACTGTCAGCTGTTCAAAAGAGTTGGTGGTTCTCTCTAGGCACCAAGCACTCCTGGCAAGGGGTGAGAGGATGGCATAAACAAGACCTCAGTTAGGAGACCATAGTGAGTAGGGAGATAATAGACCCCAGTCAAGTGAGCCAATATCCACAGTCTGAAATCAGAGCTGAGTGGTTTTATTGCATATGGAAGGATAGCCAAGTATGTGTGTGTGCAGGGAGAGAGGATAAGAATTGCACAGTTATATTGTTGGGCAAGGAGACTGAAATAGGTCAAAGCTTGACATGGATCCCAAAATTCCCAAGTATCAACAATCCTTTTGGAAAACTTTGAAAATCCTCATAGCAGGGTTGGGGAACGTTTTTGGGACCGCACAAATGTGAATGAACAAACAAAACCAAAAAGCTTACACACACACACACACAACCCCCTGATGTAATGTAATGTTCTTTTTAATGTAAAAAAAAATTTGTTTTAAAATTTAATGTGATGGCTGAATTTGGGAAAGGGTTCTGGAGCTTGCCCTTCCTCCCTAAAGGCACCCCATGCAGGGAAGAGGCTGGGGCACTTCACTTCCCTCCCACTCCTGCAAGGGATACCGCCCCCCCCCTCCCACACACACCCAGCCACTTCCCTCCACTTCCACCTGTCTCCTTAATGGTTAAGGAGGCATTTCTGTAAGCGAGTAGCTGAGGCTGCCAGACATTGTTCCCTGATGCAGCCACCTTATGAAGGGAATGGGGGTGTGTAGAGAAGTTGGCTCCACTGTGGCTTCCCTTTCCTCCTGACAGGTGCCCCATGCAGGGAAAGGGGTTGGAGGCTTCCCTTCCCTCCCACTCTGGGCACAGATTTCCCCCTCCTCTTTTCCTCCTTGTGCCGTATGCCTTCTTACTGGCAAGAGTTGTTGATAGCAGCATCTTCTTTGCTGCTGCTGGTGCAGGTGAAGGGCAGCAAGCACAGAAACACCGGAGGACGTTCTGTTTGCGCAAGGGCTCTAGCATGTGGCGCTTCCCTCGTCAGCCAGGTCTCCTGCATGCAGGAGAGAAGCCGAAAGTGTCTGACCTGCGCTGTAGAGGAGGCTGGAGGAAGTCTTTAAAGCAGCCCCCAGGATCTTCCATAGCATTCCATGGCCGCTGGACCCCCCAAGGGATGGATTAAATTGTTTGGCAGACCAAATTTGGCCCAGGGGCCAAAGGTTCCCCACCCCTGCATTAGTGTGCCTTAGTGACACCTAGTGGTTGTTTCACATACAAAATGACAACCTACTTTTGAAGTTGGTTACTCTGTTAGATCAAGTGATAGAAATGAGCAGGGTTCGCCAAGCCGTGGCGAGCCCTGCTCACCAACCGTGCTGTCTGGCACTCTGCGCGTGTGCAGATCGCCCGAACCTGGCTCTTCCGGGATGTAATCTCGCCACAGGCGAGTAGATTACATAGATTGTCGAGCCCTGGAAATGAGTGCTGTGAATCTAAAAGTTTAGCATTCCTGATGATCTAGGCAGGCATCAATATGGTTTCACAAGATGAATTTTCTCTTTTTGTCAGTCTGCTTGCAAAAACTTGAAATAGCATTTTAAAAAGTTAAAAGAACATTAAGATTCTAAGGGGTAACCAAGTTAGTTTGTAACTGGAAAAACAAAAAAAACAACAACAAATAGTCTAGCACAGCAGTGGCCAACACGTGGATCATGAGCCACGAAGAAAAAAATGGTGTCTCCTGATGGTCTTCTGTTCTCATGGCCAGGCCGCTGTGAGCCGCTGTGAGCTTTTAAGATGGCTCCCCACTCATGCCCGTTCCCACAGAGCCGTCTCTCTCCTCTGCCCTCACGCTGCTGCCTTTCTGTCAGAATCAGAAGCATGGGAGAGGGTAGGCAGAAGCCGACATGCACAGGAAGCCGGATTTTAAGCCAGCTCACCATGCCTGCCAGTTCTGCAGAGTTGCCTGCTGCCCACTGCTGCCTGTCACAGAGGCAGTGCAGGGGAAAACAGGAACCAGTGCCCCAGGGGAGTGGACTGGCTCCCTATGAGCACCATCTCTGCAGAGTCGCCTGCCCCATCCCTCCCCATGCTGCTTCCTCTGTATCAGAGGCAGTAGCAGAGGGTGTGGGAGGTAGGAGCAGGTACACACAGGGAACCGGTTTTCAAGCTGGCTCCCTGCACGTCACCCCCGTCAAGCCGCCTGTTCCCAACACTGCTGCCTCTTTATCAGATGCAGCAGAGGGATATGGGGGTGAGAGACAGTGCTTGCGGGTTGCTTAAAAGCCACCTCCCCGTGAGCTCTGGCTCCTGCCCCTCCCCCCGAATGTAAACATTCAACTAGGATGTTAAATAGCAGTTACCTAGCTATTCATATAGTTGATACAATTTGTATTGATTATACGATTAGTCAATGGAACCACTCTGAAGAGCCACAGTGGGGGTAGCTCCTGCAGCCAGCTCAAGCTCGGACTGAGCAGTCCCAGCTCCTGCTGGCTCCAGGAGCCATCTGTGCTGCAGCTCTGCATTTTAAATGTAGTATGAGCTGCTCGGTCCCGGCTCAGGCTGGTCCAACAGCCCCTGTTTGTGGCGGACAAGGCTGGCTCTCGTAAACAGAGGCTGCTCTGGCACAAGCCCCTGTTTGCAGCTGGCAGGACTAGTCATGCACGGGGCTGCTGTCGAAGCAGCCCCTGTCCATATGGGGGCCCAACTTCCTGCTGGGACCCCTGTGGTCAGGGGCTGCTTTGCAGCAGCCTTCCTTATTCCCCCCCCAGCTGCCTCTGATAGAGGAAGCAAAGGGGAGGAGGCAGGCAGCACCCTGGAGATGGTCCCCACCCCTATCCCCACCCCTTGCTGTCGGGGAGCTGGGGAGGCAGAGGCACAGTGGGGAAACGTGGGGACTGAAGCAGTTCCCGCTCTCTCTGGTTCCATGCTATGCCTCTGCCTCCCTTTCCCCCAGCACTGGCTCCTGATCCCCGCACCTTGCTGCCTCTCTCTGACAGAGGCAGCGAGGAGAGAAGGGAAGTGACTAGTCAAGTCACTGCTCAACTATCCAATAAACTTATGCTTATTGGCTAGACGACTAGTCACTTACATCCCTACGTGCAAGTGCTAAAAATTCAAACAGTTACACGTTGCACAAAATTACAATAGTTAACATCCCTCATAGGTGTGCAACTGACTGTTGTTTCCTTAGTGAGGTACTTCACATTTATCATTATTGAATTTCATCCTATTTTCCACAGACCATTGTTCCAGTTTGTCCAGATTATTTTCATCCTATCCTCCAAAGCACTTGCAACTCTTCCCAGCTTGGGAACATCTGCAAACTTTATAAGTGTACTCCCTATGCCATTATCTAAATCATTGATGAAGACATTGAACAGAACCAGTCCCAGAACTGATCCCTTTGAAATCCCACTTGGTATGTCTTTTCAGCATCGTGAACCACTGATTACTAGTTATACAATTATACAACTAGTTATATACCCATCTTATAGCAGATCCATTGTATTACCGTAGTTTGTTAATGAGAAAGTTATGCAACACTATATAAAAAACTTTGCGAAGGTCTATGTACATACCATGTCTACTGCACCCCCCTTATCCACAATGCCAGTTACCCTATCAAAAAAAGGTATCAGATTAGTTTGATAAGATTTGCTTTTAAGAAATCCATACTGTTACTTATTACCTTCCAAATGTTTGCAAATTGTTATAGTGTAGATAAAGACTATGTGATACATACAGGCAGTCCCCGGGTTACGTACAAGATAGGGACTGTAGGTTTGTTCTTAAGTTGAATTTGTATGTAAGTCGGAACTGGTACATATTGTAGGGGAAACTCTAGCCAAACATTTCTCCAGAGCTCAGTTTTATTCTCTCTCACCTCACTTCCCTCAGTCCTTTATTCTCAAGCTGAGGTGTCTGCTGAGAAAAGCCGCTCCACGTCTCCTTGGTCTGCTGGGTGGAGCGCTAGCTTCGCGTCTCCCTGGTCTGCTAGGGGGAAAAGCAGCTAGTGCGGGGTTGTCTCACCGCGTTTGTAAGTAGGGATCTGATGTAAGTCGGATCCATGTAACCCGGGGACTGCCTGTATATCAGGGGATGAATTAAGCGTTTCACAGGCAACTTTAATTATGAAATTTCCCAATATCTGAGTGCTGGACTTTCCAGCCTCAAACTTATTTTAATGCACTTTTTAAAAGTCTAACTATATAGACACTATCATGCTCAAGACTAAAGACTTTTTTACAGTTTCCCTTACTGTAGAGTAGTGGTCTCCAACTTTTTTTAAAACCAAGGTCACTTTTTAAATTTCAGAGCAACCCAAAATCTACCCTGCCCCTTCCCCGAGACTCCATCCACTCCATTCTTCCTTTTCTCTATCACTTTCTCTCCCCACCCTCACTTATTTTCAGTGGGCTGGAGCATGGAATGTGAGCTCCAGCTGGTGCGGAGGGGGTTAGAAGAAAGAATGGGAGAAGAGTGCAAGCTCTGGGAGGGAATTTGAGTTCAGGTAGTGACTCCAAGCTGGAGTGCAGGGTGCTGGATCTGGGAGGGAGCTCCAGGCTGGGTCAGAGTGTTATGGTGCAAGATGGGGTGGAGAAGGGAGTGCTGGCTCTGGGAAGACTGGCCCCAGTGTCGGTGTGCCGGTGGGGTTTAGGGTGCTGGCTGTGGGAGGGGAGTCAGAGCTATAGGAGGCAAGGTGCAGGTTCCAGCTAGGAACACACAGCTTCCTGCTGGCAGTGCAGCGGAGCTCAAACAGGCTGCACACCTGCTGTTGCTCTATGACAATCCCAGAAGTGGCTGGCTGTAGGCTTGTGTCTGTGGTCCTCGGGGGAAGGGGACAGCATGCTTTTGCATGCTGCTCCCTGTCCCTAACTAGGGATCTTAAAATGTCTCTATTTAGGTAAATGTTAACCACTGAAAATTTTAGCAGTTATGTGTTTACACTGTCCTTAGAGCACCCATTGGCCAGGAGACAGCCAATGGGATCTGCAGGCATGGGCAGTTTGCAGAAACATGCTGTTCCCTTTCCCCCAGGGAGCACAAAGATGAGGTATAGCTGGTTGGTGGTCTCTCAGAGCCCTGTAGCACTAGCCTGGAGATTGCCATCAACTGGCTGAGGCTCCAGGATCGACCACTCCATTGTGGTCAATGGCCTGGTGACTCCTGATCTAGAGAGAAGAAAATATTTAAGGGGCATCTCCAGAGACTGAGTCAAGGACCAATGCTAACCTTACAGCAGCAATTCCAAGCATTGTTTTGGTGGAGGTCACCTTTCAAAGGACTGGTAGTTTGGTTGCTTCCTGTGTTTCATCTACTAGAGATATAAGCACCTATTAGAAATATAGAGACCCCTGCAACAACTTGAGAATTTCCTAGCGTTTGCTTACAATGCCTGTACCTTCACATAGTTAGTGTCATATTTCAATGAGAAGTCCTGTGGCATCTTATAGACAAACAGATTTATTGGAGCATAAGCTTTTGTGGGCAAAGACCCACTTTGTCAGATGCATATACCTGAATTTTCCACTACATTCATCTGACAAAGTGGGTTTTTGCCCACGAAAGCTTATGCTCCAATAAATCTGTTAGTCTATAAAGGTGCCACAGGACTTCTCATTGTTAATGCAGATCCAGATTAACATATCTACTCCTTTGATACTTGTTATATTTCAGTTAGTTTTCAAATATTTTCTTTACAATGAGGAAGGCTAGATTCTAGGACTCAGTTCTGTTGCAAGTTCTGTGGATGCAGAATGTATTTGGTTTTAATCTTATCTGAATTTATATTCAATATTGGTGTTTTATATTTAATTAATAAAAAGACTGTAGTTTTATGTTTATTTTGTGCATTCAACCTTCCAGGCTGACAATATTTTAGAAGATTTGCTTTTGTTGAAGGTTAATTACTTCATTTTAGAAGCTGGAAAAACAGTAATTAATGAGACAGCTCCTAAACTCACAACTGAATTTAGACTTTCAAAAAAATGCATTAACATTTCTTTGGGGACTGTCACATAAAATTAAAAAAGAGAAAGACCCCACTGAAAAACCAATACCATGAGAAAGACGCCAGTGAGAGAACAAGAAGAAAAAAATATCCAATCATTATTTAATATTAATTCAGCACCATCTGAGGCACTCTACAAAACAAGCTCACAATTAACAGCACATCGAAGCCCACGTTTTGTTACGGAACTTGTACTAACACCGCTCTAGTTTTCAGTTCTCAACAGAGGGCGGTGACCGCACAGGTGTGTTGTTTGTAGCTCGGACTAGGGACACGCGACACCGTGTAAGGTGTTAACCGGTTAACTCTACAGTTTGACTGGTCAGCCGATGGGGGGGGGGCTAGAGGAGCACCCCCTGGGACGCCGCAGGCCGGGGCTGTGTCAGCCCCCACGGGCTAACCTTCCGCACCCGCAGCGCTGGGACCAAACAAGAGCGGCTGATCGGTCACAGACGAGTGGCGCCGGGTCTGGGAGCCAGAAGTCACCCACCTTGCCGCTGCTCCCTGCCCCAAGGCCAGGCGATCTCCAACCGCCATAAGCGCCGGAAATAGGCCGTGGCGCGGCGGAAGTGACGTAGCTCCGGGCGCAGGGGTGGTGGGGAGGAAGCTCCGCCCACGCGCGGAGTGGGGTGTGGCCGGGCGGGTGAGCGAGCCAGCGCTGGCGGGGAACGCTGGAGCCAGGCGGCCGCGCGCTGTCCTGGACCCCGCCCCGAGCAGCTTCTCCGCCCTGTCCAGCAGCGCAGCGGGAGGATGCGCGAGCGTCTCCCCAGGGAGCAGCAGGCGGCGCCACCTGGCCAGGTACGGCGCAGGGACACGGGGCGAGGAGGGAGGCGTCAGGGTTGCACGAGCCGGGGCAGCGTCCGTGGGTTTTCACGGCTCCCCTCGCTTGCCGGGGGCTGTTGGCTCCTCCGCATCTGTCTCTTTGGGGCGCTGCGCAGTGGGGAGCGGGTCAGTGCGCGCGTGTTGCTCCCGCAGTGCCCCAGTGCCTGCCTGGGCCCGTGGCTGCAGGGTGAAGCCGCTATTCCATGTAGTGACGATTTCTGTCTGAGTGTTTACACTTTCCCAGGACACGGGAGAGACCGCATGCATGGCATGGCGGTCTCCTAAAGACACGAGAGAGGTAGTTGAATGCCTGACTTTTTTCCCCCAGCTTTAACTTCATTGCTTCGCAAATGAAAGTATTGTTTGCTAGTGTCCCTGCAGGTATCGAACAGGGTCTTTCTCTTTAGAAACTCCCCATCTTTAATGTTACTGTATCGTCACCTGCAATGCTTATCTGTTTGGTGTACATGCTCCCTATTTTAGCAATGAATAATCTCATCTTCTTGCGTTTGCTCACTTCATAATCACCTCATGGTCTTGGCTGATAAAATGGCTGTAACACCAAGAAGCTTGGTTATGAGGCGGAGCATTCTGTGTTTGCCCTTTCATAGCTAGAGAAGATACTGGAAGAAATAGATAACAGGAATAGACATAGAATTCTATAACTTGACGGAATTTTGAGAGGCTTTCTATTCTTCCAATTGCATGCGCTCAAGAAAGGACTAAATATTATCTAGACCATTCCTGACAGGTGTTTGGAGATCTTTATAAGAGCAGGTTAGACAGTGATGGAGATTCTACTGTTTCACAATCTGTCTAGGCAGTTTTAGGGATGTAAATTTCGATTATTTGGCTAATTGAATATTCAATGTACTTTGCATCACCTGTTGGATTAGTCAATAAAGGTGCTCCAAGGGCTGTTGCTACACTTCAAGCAAAAGCGCTGCAGGGAGCACAGGGCCAGTGGGAGACTCAGCAGTCCTCCGCTGGCCCTTTGCTCCCTGCAGCATTTCAAGAAACGCTGCACGGAGCCTGGGGTGAGCTGCGGACTCTGAATCTCCAGCTGACCCCAGACTCCATGCAGTGCTGCGGCTTTGAAACGCCACATGAAGCCCAGGGCTATCTGTGTATCCCAGGCTGCTTGTGGCATTTCAAAGTGGTAGCTTTGCATGGAGCCCGGGGGCAGCTGGGAACTCCCCTGCTGACCCTGGGCTGCACACGGCGTTTCAAAGTGGCAGCGGCATGTGGAGACTGGGGTTTGGCCCCAGACTCCATGTGGTGCTGCTGCTTGGAAGCACTCCCTTCTTCCCCTCCCCTTGCTGCTTCTTTCAGCAAAGGGGGGAGGGGGCGCAACTAGCATTTGCTTATTGTATAGTCAACTAGTTCACATCCCTAGACAACTTATTCCAATACTTTAGGAAAAACTTTTTCATGGTTTTTAACATGCAACCTAAGCCACCGTTGCTGCAATTGAAGAACATTACTTCTTGTCCTATCTTCAGAAGTTAAAAAGAACCATTTTTCTCCTTTCTCCTTTTAACAATCTTTTATATCCGTGTTTCTCAAACTGTGGATCCCAGCCCCCTGGCTGGTTACGAGCAACTTAGAGGGGGGATGCGGTATCACAAAGTTTGAGAACCTGTTTTATGAACTTGAAAACTGTTATGTCCCCTTTGTCTTCTGTTCTCCAGACTTGAAAAAAAACATTTTTTAAAAAATGTTTCCTCATAGGTCATTTTTTCTAGACCTTTGGTAATTTTTGGTATTCTAAGGAATTGCTTCAAGTTATCCATAACTTTCCTGAAATATGCCATCCAGTTGAATTGGATACAGTACTCCAGCTGAGGCCTAAGCAGCATGACATGGTGGAAAAATTATTTCTTGTTTACAATACTCCTGCTAATATATCCCAGAATTATGTTTGCCTTTTTTGCAGCTGTGTTCGACTGTTCACTTGTATGTAGGTTGTGGTCTGCTATGACCCCCAGATGCTTTTTTTGCAGTACTCCTTCCTTCTAGTTCTTTCCCATGTTGGCTGTGTGCAAATGATTGTTCCTTCATAAGTGGAGTACTTTGCATTTGTGCTTGTTGAATTTCATCCTTTTTACTTTCGACCATTTCCCCAGTTTATCCAGACCATTTTGAATTATCAATCTTATCCTCCAAAGCGCTTGTAACATTTGTCTGAAAACTTTATACATGTAAGGTGTGTCTACACTGGGCCACTTATTCCGGAAAATCAGCCGCTTTTCCGGAATAAGCTGCGAGCTGTCTACACTGGCCGCTTGAATTTCCGGAAAAGCATCGACACTGTACTGTACAAAATCAGCCGCTTTTCCAGAAACGCTACGGTGCTCCCGCTTGGGCAAAAGTCCTTTTTCCGGAAAAGCTGAAGATTTTTCAAAGCACAACTTATCCTTAACTATAGTGTCACTACTATTCTACTTGAGTCATATGATTTGGAGCATGAGTTAAGTTCCCATCATAAGTAGGCTAGTGGCTTTGGAATTAATGCAGAGTGAATGCATAAAAAATATCCTCCAAGATGAGTATTTTGTGGTAATTGCTTTCAAGAGGACAAGAAAGTTCAATAAAGAGGTAAAATTCCCGTTCTGTATTGGTATGTAGTATTCAACATTGTTCCGATTCTGTGCCTTTTAGCCTTTTTTTTTAAACTCAAGTTCAGTCAATTCCATATCTGAGAGAAATGTACTCCTAAGAGAATGCAATATGAAATCTATAATTGTGGTCTCTGTACTAGCTTCTGCTTTAAGTTACGTGCATAAAAAATACCAGATTGTTTACATATTTTGTGGATATTTAATTGTATCCATTATACCACAAAGATAAACTTCTAGCTCTTTTACTTTTCTCACTTTTTTCTGTGTATCCCTACATAATAATTTTCCAATCTAGAGTGTATGTACTGAAATGCTGTCTCATTGTATTTCCCTTTATTCTGTGGAAGGCTTTCTTTTCTTTTCCTTCAGTTAGAACTTAATGGCTCTAAAATGGTTTTATTTATTTTTTTGACTTCTGAAGAATGAACTTTATTTTATCTCCTCTTCTGTGCTCAATATTGCCTGATACTTTTATGATTTTACATGTTGCTTGATGTGTTTAGAATAAGTTAAGTTAAATTGTATGGGAAACAGGGCTGTATTCCTTCTTAATCGTGATAGATTTTTTAAAATATAAGTAGTTGAAAACTGGTATGAGAACTTGATGATTTTGTCATTAAGTGCAAATAGGTGGCAATTTCCTTGTTACCAAGGGTAGTACTTAACAAGGTGGATAAAACCTTTTTTTAAATTTGTATTTAAATTGGACTGTATCTTGTTACTTAAATTATAATAAAGATATCTTTTGAAAGTTAAATATGTTTAACATCTGAATTTAATAAACATGCGAAAGACATTATCTCTTACATTTATTTATTGTTTAAATGTTTTGATGTTAGGTTTAAATTCAAGTTACCACCCTAAGTCAGCTTGACACAAAACACAAGTAAAAAGTAACTAAGCAATATATCATTCACCACTTTCTAACATACCAGAATTGTACAATTTATAATCTGAATGCATTAAGCTATATAACTTCTGAAATAAATGTTTATAGTAGGGATGTTAACTAGCAGTTAGTAAGCTAATTGAGTAGTCAATGGAATTTCCATTGACTACTCAATTAGTTAATAAGGAGGTTTGCTGGTGCTCTGCTTTTTTAAATGTAGTAAGAACCTGGTGGCTCTTCCAACATTTAAAAAGTAGAGCCACAGCAATCTGGGGCCAGGTGCGAGCTGACATCTTTTACTACATTTAAAGAGCAGAGCTACAGTGGTCTAGGACCGGGTGCGAACTGAGACAGTTGAGCCTGGCAGCTCTTACTACACTTAAAAAGCAGAGACGTAGTGTGTGGGACCTGGTGTGAGCCAGGATTGCTCCCACTGGGTCCGCTGCTACACCTCTGCCTCCCCTGTCCTGTCTCCCCTCCCCCAAGATGGTGCTGGGGGAAACTGGCTTTTAAGCCAGCTCTCCATAGCTCCTGCTCCTGCCTAGGCTGATGGGATAGTCAACTAGTCACTTTACATCCCTAATACATAGTTTACTAGCCAATTAGCCCATCATAAGACGGATTTTCAGGTCTTCTCTCTTGAGCTGTGTGTGTGTGTGTGTCTCAGCTCTCCTCCGCCTCCTGCCTCTCTCTCTGTCTCGTTCTTTCTCTTCTCCCCCTCCTTCCTTTCACTCTCCCTTTCTCTTCTCCTCCGTCTCCTGCCTGTCTCTCCCTTCCCCTACCCCTCCCGCTGCGGCGCTCGGCTGAGTGCTGCCGTGTATGTCACTGCCCCACCTCCCTTTCCCCTCCCACCACGGGGGAGCCCAAATGGCCCCTTGCATTGCTGGCTTCCCTGGTGGCCTGGCTAAGGGGCGCAGCATTCAGCTGAGCACCTCAGTGGGAAGGAAAAGGGGGGCGGTGATGTATATGGCCCTGCCCCCTGGCCGTGTACGTCACCGCCCGCACCATTCACCTCCCTTCGTGGTGCATCGGCTGAGTGTTGCTCACTCAGCAGGGCCACCGCAGGGGAGGAGGGGCAGGGCAGTGACGTACACGGCCAGGGAGCGGGGCCGTGTATGTCACTGCCCCTTCCCCTCCCCCGCGGTGGCTCAGCTGAGGGGCGCAGCACTCAGCGCTACGGCAGGAGGGGAAGAGGGGCAGGGCACTGATGTACACGGTCAGGGGGCGTGGCCGTGTACGTCAGCGTTAGACTCACAGACACTGGGCTACTATATATATGATACTGTACTCTCCTAGGTAGAGAAAAAAGGAGCAAAAATGTACCACAACTAGTCTAAAGGTTCTATTTAGTTGTAAATCAACATGTTTCCATGGTTATATAAATTACTGTGTACTTTTATTTAGAAAACTGTACAAATGGAAAAGCTTATTGAAATCCTGGCTTTCCACATGACGACTTGTCAGTCCATCCTGGTACTTTATATTGTCCTTTTCTTACTGGGTGTCATAAATAACCTTAGAGTGCCCTCCTGCACTGCAAAAGCTAGGTTCCCTGC